TTGTATACTGAAAACTACCAGACGCACTGGGTGCAGTAGCTCATGCCTATAATCCTAGTATAATGGTAGGCCAAGGCGGGTGGAACACTTGAGCTGAGGAGTTTGAAATCAGCCTGTGCAAGAGCAAGACCCATTCCCTACTAAAAATACAAAAACTAGCCCAATATCGTGGCTCATAGTCCCAGCTACTCAGGAGGGTGAGGCAAGAGCATTGCTTGAAACCAGGGGTTTAAGGTTGCTGTGAGCTGTGATGCTCAAGCACTCTACTCAGGGATGCAGGGCGACAAAGTGAGACTCAAAATAAACAAATAATAAATAAAACATAAAGCTTCTGCTCAGCAAAGGAAATAATCAACAGAGCAAAAACGCAACCCACATTGTGAGACAACATTTGTAAACCATATACCCAAAAGGGATTAATATCCAAAATACATAATAAACTCCTATAACTCAATAGTAAAAAATCCCACAAAACTAATAACCTGGTTAAGAAATGGACAAAGGACCCAAACATACCTTTTCCAAAGAAGACTTACCAAAAGGTATATGAAAAAATACTCAAGGTCATTAATCACCAGAGAAATTCAAGTCAAAACCACATCCTTACATCTATCAGGATGGCTATTATCAACCCCCCATCACAAATTTTAGCAATATAAAGAAACTGAACCCTTGTACACTGTAAGTGGGATTGTAAAGTGATTCGGCTGCTTTGGAAAAGAGTACGAAGGCCCCTCAAAAAATTTTAAAAATGGCCAGCGGTAGTTCACACGGCTGGGGTGGGAGGACTGCTCAAGCTTAGGAGTTCAAGAGCAACTGAGTAAGAGCTAGACTCTGTCTCTACTAAAAGTAGAAGAACAAACCAGCCAGGCTGTTGGTAGTTTCAGTTAGTTGGGAGGCTGAGGCAAGAGGATTGCTTGAGCCCAGGAGTCTGAGGTTGCTTGAGCTATGATGATCCCATGGCACTCTATCCAGGTCAACAGAGTGAAACTGTGTCTCAAAAATAAAAAGTAAATAAAAAATTAAAAATACAACTACCATATGATCCAGCAATTCCACTTCTGGGTATATGTCCAAAAAAATGAAAACCAGAATCTTGACAAGACGTAATCATGCCTATATTAAATGCAGCCCTGCTCACAATCACCAAGATGTAAAAACAATCTAAATACCACTGACAGATAAAGAAAAGGTGATATATTTACACAATGGAATATTCTTTAGTCTCGTAAAGGAAAGAAACTCTTCAATATGCAGCAACATGGATGAACCTTCAGGACATTATGCTGAGTGAAATAAACCAGTCACAGAAACACAAATACTGCAGATTCCCCTTACATAAGGTATCTAATATAGTCAAATTCATAGAATTAAAGAGTAGAAGAGTGGTTGCCAGGGGCTGGGCGGGGGAAGGAATCAGAAGTTACTAAAATAAATGTCAGTTATGGGTGGCGCCTATGGCTCAAAGGAGTAGGGGGCCGGCCCCATATACCGGAGTTGGTGGGTTCTAACCCAGCCCTGGCCAAAAACTGCAAAAATAAAAATAAAAAAATAGGCGGCACCTGTCGCTCAAAGGAGTAGGGCACTGGCCCCATATGCCAGAGGT